GAGAGAGGGAGGAAGAGAGAGAGAAACATCGACATGAGAGAGACACATTGAGAGGCCACCACCCACACAACCCCAACCAGGGATGGGGACAAAACTCAACAGAGGTATGTGCCCCCAGTGGGAACCAAACCTGGGCCTCTCTGGTCTGCAGGCCGACGCTCCAAATGCAGAACCAAACCGGCCAGGGTGATCGTAGCTTCTTCTTTTGTGTACACGTTTAACTTTTTAAGGTAAAATAATTCATTCCTGAACATTAGATTTTAAAGATTATAAAAAGAGCTCAACTTAAACATTAGTAGTTGGAAGGCAGCTGCAAATGTTGCGTTCTTTCTTTGACTTTTTGAGCCAAAAACAAGAAAACAACGACTAATGAACCATTTTCATGCTTCTTAATATGCTTGTTACCACTAGATCAATAGTTCTAGAAATATTTAAAGAAATATTTCTTTAAATACATTGTAAGAGAAGGAAGGTATGCTGTGCTCCACAGTAATTATGTTGCTCAGGAGAAATGTTCTAGTTATTGAACAATACAAAATGTGACCATTGTAGTAGTTTGACATTTGCTTTGATCTCAATTACATTTTACTTTTCATGAAAATGTTATCACCAGAAAGATGGGAAAACATTATGTATTTACACTTGGAAGGTCTACCTGCGGGTAATTGGATTTGTGATGCTTTTCTTTCACCTTTGCTATTTAACTGTGACGTATCTTGGCGTTAATTTACTTGGTGATGAATTGAAGATCAGGACGATCTCTAGATTTTTTTATCCTGAAGGTGAATTTAAGGGCACTGGATAGTGTCTTGGTTATGGGTTTTTCAATTTGCTCGTATCTTTTTTAAAACCATTTTTCAGGAGAACAACTTAAAATCTAGATCAAGATGCAGACCTAGATCTGTGTACTTTTACATACAAAGTAATTTTGTACATGAAGAAACTGAGACTTGAGAAAATAAATTAGCTCATAGTTTCAAAAGTTAGCATTTCAACCCAAATTTATCTCTTCAGTTTTTCCTTTCCATTGGACCAAGATATTTTAAAGTATGTTAAACTTCTTTTAAGAGACTTTTTTATTATTATAGTAAGTAAGACAGACTCTGTCTCAGGCAGTTTTATGTCCCTATCAACTAGATATTCTGGCATAAATTTAGGTGATAAATAATGCTTTTGACCAAGTGAATATATATGAGCTGCCTTTCCTTTTCTGATTTTGTTGTAAATTATATCTAACCCAAATTCTATAGAATGAGAGAAAATGTGCCCAGCCAGTGTTGCTCAGTGGCTGAGCGTTGACTCATGCACTGAGAGGTCACTGGTTTGATTCCTGGTCAGGGCCCATGCCCAGGTTGTAGGGCTGATTTGCAGTGGGGGGCATGCAGGAGGCGGCCAATCGATGTTCTCTCTCATTGATGCTTCTATCTCTCTCTCCCTCTCTCTTTCTAAAAAATCAATGAAGAAAAAAAATAATAATGAGAGAAAATGTAAGAATTCCAACTCACAAGATACTTACTCTCATTAAAGGGAGGAAGCCAACTTAAGTAGGAACAACAACAAATTGGGACTGATATTTGAACTTTCAAATTTCTACATAAAATTTTCATGTCAAGGAGGCTATGTGGCTGAGCTTGTGCTTATTTTATTTTCATTCTAGTTAATAATATGCATATAATACACTGATAAATATTAGAATCTATTGATAATTATTCTTATTGGTTCCTACTATGGTTTCTTGTCTCTCTGCCTCTTGCTTTCTCTACCTTCCCAATTCAACTTTTACTTTTTCATCAAAATAATCTTGCCCTGGCCAGTTTGGCTCAGCAGTTGGAGTGTCGGCCCGTGGTCCAGGGAGACGTGGGTTTGGTTCCCGCTAAGGGCGATTGGTCCCTGGCTCCAGTTGGGGGTCATGTGGGTGGCAGCTGGTTTGTGTGTCTCTCTTGCATTGATGTTTCTGTCTCTCTCTTCCTCCCTCTCTCCTTCTTGCTCTATCTGAGGATGAATGCCGAAGTGTCCTCAGGTGAGGATTAAAAAATAATAAAATAATCCTTCTAAATCACAATTAATATATTTACTCCTTGCCTAAAACTTTTGATGCCTATCATTGTCTACATCAGCATTTCCTAAACCATGATACACAGAGTTCCTGGAGCTTCATGAATACTTCATATACATATTCTAATTTGAAGACTTCAGAAAATTTATTCCAACATTTTATCAATGCATTTTGCCCTAAAACTCCTTTTAGTTCCTAGAAAACAAAACGAACAAAACAAAAAGTGAACAAACAAACAAACAAATCATGTTAATTCCAGTGAAAGTAGCTCAGGAAATATGAGCTGTTAGTTTTGTGAAATTTTACCCAAAATTACTACACATGGTGTGATGGCTAATTTTTTGTGTTAACTTGATTATTTTATGGTACCTAGTTATTTGATCAAACACTAGTTTAGATGTTGCTGTGAAGCTATTTTATGGATGTGATTAACATTTATTAACATTCACAATCAGTGACTTTAAGTAAAGCAGATTCCTCTTCACTATATGAATGGGCCTCATCTAATCAGCTGAAGGCCTTAAGAGCAAGGACTGAAGTTTTCTAAAAAAAGAATTCTGCTTTGAGATTGAAACACAGAAACCCTGTTTAAATTTCCAGCCTATGGGCTTGCCCTGTGGATTTTGGACTCGAGACTACAATAACAACTCTTATCTGAATTTCCAGACTAACAACCAACCTGGGGTATGGATTTTGAACTTGCCAGTCTCCACAAGTACATAAGGCAATTTCTTAAAAGAAATCTATATCTATCATCATCTATCTATCTACATTATTGTTTCTCCCCACCCCTGACTAATACCCATAGTCATAATTTGATTATTTTTGCTTTTGTAAGGTTATGTCCGTCACACTTTGATATATCTGTTACTATTCTCTCTCAGATCCACTGTGCTCTAACCTCACTTCAATATTATTGAGCACACCAAGTACTTTTATGCTCTGGATCTTTGCCCTGCCCTTTGGGTATATTGTGTCTTCAGGTCTCTACATTTTTCAGTCTTTAGCTTAAATCTCACTTCCTCAGAGACTACTTCCCTGCCATATATAATGCAATTATTTTTCTCCAGTTCCTTACTTTTTAATTTTATACAAATTTTCTTTTGTGCAGAATTTTAACTGTTCATGATGTCAAATCTATTAATATTTTCGTCATTTCTTATGTGCTTAGATTTCTAAACTCTATTTGGAGAAATATACACATATGTTTCCTTCTAAGTTTTTGTATGATTTATTTTTAAGCCTTTGATTCATGTAAAATTAATTTTAGAATATGGTTTTAAATAGCATTTAAAACCCCAAATACTCAATTGTTAAAGCAAGATTAATTAACCACCTTATCCCGTGGTTTTGAAGTATACTTTATCATATAACTAAATTTTTGTTAAAATGTGTTTGTGTTTTAACATACTACATAATTAGTCTAGTTTATAGTCTACCTAATACCCAATGGTGTGAATCCTTATCCCTCCCAACTACTCCCACATCCAAGATGCACCCTTTATTATTCAACCTGGGTTTTTTCTTTTGCTTTTGAAAAATATACAATAAAATTGTCCGATAGCCTGGGAACTGGCGCCAGACAAACTGCTCGACCATTGTCTCGCTTGCTCAGCCTTGCCTCCCACCCTGTTCCGGGAACGGCCTGCCCCGGGCTTGTAGACTAACTCCCATCCTGCTCCTATCGACTCACATTCCAGGGGCTCCATGCATAGCCCCCCAAGGCCAAACCCTAACAGACAAATCTCAGCTGCAACGGGCAGATAGAAAAAGCACAAACACCAGCATCAGGCACGGCTTCTAGGACGCGACCCCCGGAGTCTGTGAACCCGCCCGGAGTGTGCCCAATAAAGCCTGATCCCTGTTTATTCGGCTGATTGGCTCTCCAGTCTCTTCTCTGTTTTTTGGTGGCACCCCCGATTCCTTACAAAAATTATGAGTGTCTATAGAATAATTCTATTCTTGGTGTCCAGAGTTAAGTTATTCTTTAAACAAACAGTAGATTTCATTTTACTTCCATCCCTCCTAATTTGAGTATCCTGTACTAAAATATCAAACACACCTACACACAGTAAATTAGTTGCTGTCAAGATTTATTGAAGAGAAATCAGCAAAGTGAAAACAGACAGATTTCAAAAGTCTGTGTCAGTAAAGAATGAAGATATACGTCCTTGAATTGCTAACCAAAGCATAAGAAGAGTGTGATATCAGTGCTTAAGACCTGAAAAAAAATTGACAAAAATTCAGAAAAGAAATTATAAAGACAGAAAATTAAATTGAATCATACATTTACATACAATATTGTTTTTGACAAATGTACCTATTTGTAAAATATCATTTTGCCTTAGTTTGCATACAACACACGTCTAGAAACCTGCAATAGTTATGTTTCTTACACGTGGATACAAAACAATTACTGAAGACCCTTAGTTCTTAGATAAGTGAGGATTGCAGTTATATTTTTTAAATAGATTAGAATCACTGGTTGCATACTAATGAAAAAATGTTTAGAATAGACATTTTAGATCTTTTAATACTCTTCTCTTCATCTCTTTAACTCACAGTAAATTACGTAATTGAGGATTAACTAAAATGACATACATCATTAAATGTAGCAGAAAGTGAGCTTTCTTTATTGTTCTCTCTTCATATCTTTGAAGGGTAGGGTTAAAGATTTTATATTAAAATAATTAAGTAGGGATACAATTAAACTTTGTGGTTCTAAGAGAACTCTTGTACTGTTGAGTTTTCTAAGTTTCCATAAACATATTCTGCTACATGACCTCTATTCCTAAGCATCTGCATTTTCTAAGTTCAATACTTGCCTTAAATGCCTACATTCTTTTTTCCGTTAAATTTTTTGCTTGCTGGACAAACTTCTTAGATATTAAAACTGGCTGGCTAGGCTATTGCACAAGTCTACATGGCATTTCGTTTGTTCCTTTCAAATCAGAAACTCATCTGGTTCTTCTTTCAGTAGTTTAAAGACACCCATTTCAGTTGTAAAAGTGTCTTCCTTTTGGCTTGGATTATCTAGATCAGGGGTAGTTTTGGAAAATGCATCAGTGGCCTTAGTTACAGATTCTGTTCTATTATTTTCAGACAAATCTTCCTTTGTTGTAGGAGATGAATCTTCCATGAGATTCAAAGCTACTGGTTTGGGAACAATGAAGTCATATCTGGATTCAATAGCAGTAAGCAAAACAGGATGGTTCTCTTCTTCATTGGCAAAACCTTTCTCCATCCAAACATCGACTCCACCTATAGACTCTTCATCAGTTAGAAGAATTTCTTCTGGATTATCTTTGTCTCTTTTGGCAGTGGTAGTAAGTTCAAACACAGTGATAAACTTTTCCTCATCAGAGTCAGTTAGTTTAGACACAGCATTTGGGTCGTCTTCTGGAAGAATTAAGTCAATTTCAGCTATGTTCTCTTCTGTAAGGGCAGTTATGTCTGGAATAGTGGTGACGTTTTTTCCAGCAGGGGGAGAGATTTTAGTCTCAGGAATAGAGGAGTCAGTGGTCTGGATGGCCTCATCAGGAGTGATACTGGATTTAACTAAGGAACTATCATTAACATCAGGTTCTTCCTTCTTAGCTGGAAGGGCAGGAATGTCAGTAATGCTGGTAGTGATTTCCTTTAGTGAGCCAGAGAGTTCAGAAATTATTGAGACTTCTATATCTCCTGGGTCAATAGTATCCAAGAGAATATCTTCTTTTGACTCATTAGTGGAAAAATCTATTAAAGAAACAGAAGTGACTGGTGATGAGATATTACCAACTTTCACTGGAATAAAATTTTCAGTAATAGAGTCATTAGCCATGGAGTTTGTAGCACCAGTCAGAGTGGTAATTTCTTTCTCCAGATGGGTTGATAACTTAATAATATGGGACTCCACATCTTCTGAATTTAGTCTTTCCTTTGGAGATGGAAGCTTGTTGCCTATTGTTGTTAGAAAATCACTCTCTAGCACACGGTCACTTACTGAAGTAATGTGGTCCCCTTCTGAAGTAATCGTTGTTTCTGATCTAGGAACAGTGTTGTCAGTCCCAAAGAGGCTGGTTGCTTCAGTTGTTGTTTTACTGCTTTCGGTTGGAAGATGAGAATACATTTTTGGCAATCCATCTTCAGCCATGGGACAAAGTGGCACCATGCACACTCTCAGGTCTTTTTCTGGGCCCAGTGACATCCCTTAGCAGGAAAGTGGTATTCATTCTAGTGACTGAAGCACTGGTCATCATAGTGATTGTTGCATCAACCACAGGGCCAATGGCACTGGCTTCCCTTGGAGGCTGTTTCTATGCTCTGATTGGACACCTAGTGTTTATATTAGATAAAAAGACAACAGAGTTCTCTCTGATTATGGAATCCACATTCACAGGCCAATATTTTAATAGCAAGGAACTGTCAGGTCCCATGTTAGAAGGGGTAGGCCTTCAATATGGAGTTAGTGTCACTTGAAACAGACATCACAGAGTCTGCCAGATACTTTGTGGGTTTAGCATAAAATGGGGGAAACTCTGAAAGCCCCAAGATTATCAGCATGAACTTCAAGTTGCCTTTCTTTCAAGTAAGTAACAGTCTTTTTGAGATGAGGCATTTTCTCTTGTGATTCATGTATTTAAATGTCTAAAAAAAGTAATGGCATTTTGGCAGTGAGTAAAGCTGCAGAGGTAATTAGGTAGTGAGATTTTAGCTAGTTCTTTTCTTCAAAATGGGGATTCTCTCTTTTCCAGTAGGGATGATAAAAAGTAAGTTACTGGACAATTAAGGTCTTTGCAGTTTTTTCTTCATTGTAATTCTTACTTTTTCTTGAATTAACTTGAAAAACAATGAGAAGGTCAGGTTTTCTAGTTCTAATTTCTTTAGAAATGCTTTCCTTTAGAGAATGTTATTTCAACTCCAAAAGAGTTTTATGGAAATTGGCATTGTATGTCAAAAATCACCGAGAAATAGCCCTGGCTGGTTTGGTTCAGTGGTTAGAGTGTTGGCCCGAGGACCAGAGAGTCCCGGGTTCAGTTCCCGCTAAGGGCACATGCCTTGGTTGCAGTTTGTCCCCAGCCCCGGTTGGGGTCGTGTGGGTAGCAACCACTCGATGTGTCTCTCTCTCATTGATGTTTCTGTCTCTCTCTTTTTCCCTCTCTCCCTCCCACTCTATCTGAAGATAAATGCAAAAATGTGCTTCAGTGAGGAAAAAAAAATCACCCAGAAACAGATCAGGGTATTAGCCTTGGGAGTTATATTCTCAATTTCAGAAGAAAGGTTTTCTCTAATGATGTCAGTTATATCAGTCATTATCATTTTGTTTCACTATCATCCTTAAGGTGTAGCTAATTAGATAAATAAAAATTGTATTTTAGTGTTATTCCCCCCACCCCCACCCCCCGTGTCATTGGAGGGAAGAATTTTCAGACTCTGACACAACTAAATCTGAAAAACAACAGTAGCATCAGCTGAAGCAGTGGATTCCATCTCAAAGGCAAATGTTTATTCTTCTTAAATATGGCCTCAGCATTAAAATGTACAGTGTCTTCTCTTAGTTATTGGTCACCTATAGCTATATTACCACTCTATGTAGTAATAGCATATTGATTTTAATAGACATTTTTCATTTTAAGGACATGGGCAGCTTCTCCAGAAAAGTTTTTGCTTCAAGGGGATAACTATTGAGGGCTCCAATGTCTTTATTGATATAGAGAATGATGTCAGCATCAGAGACAGGGAAAGAAGTGTCAAGGTAATAACAGGCACAGGTTCTTTATTTCTAAATAAAAATACCGTCAGTTCTGGAGCAGTAAATAAATATCAAAGTAAAGGCACTATCTGGGTTGACTAACTTAATGGCAGGTTTTGTAACTTCTGTGTTGTTGCTTTTTTTCCCCAACACCTAATGTTTGTAAATCTAAATTCAGGATAAGGCATGATATAGAAAGTAGACTTGGCATCTTTTCAGGGGAATATTTTTTGTGTGTGTACAAAAGCGGGAAGAAGATAGAGGTGTTAGGTGCATAGCTGCTAGAAGTTATCTTGAAGTACTTGGTATTTATATTGAATAGAGTCAGAATAAGAAACAAAAAATACCCATCTTTTGAGCATTTAATCCCCAGTTAGAAATGTCATTTGAAATGATGATATCATTTTCAGAGATACTAACTTGTCAAATAGTCTTTAATTCCAGGGATTACTTTTGTCATCACGCCAACTCTGCTCATATTAGAGTTGTGAGGTGGAATCACATTAATTGTAACAAAATTAGGCTTTTCTCTCCAATGGAGAATATTATTATCATTATGCATCTTTTTAAAATCATTGACCTCAAAAAGGACACTTTGATTGAGAGTGTGTGTCGTCCATCAAAGATCAGAAGCATATGATAAAAATCTGATGGGACTGCTGGAATTTTAGCAATATTCAAGATGGAACTGGAATCGTCTGCACGAGGAAATATAGTATACTCTCATGTGATCAATAGATCATTACCATCACAGATGTTATCTAACTTAAGACTAGATGATCAGATTCATTTTGAATAAAATGATGTTTCCTCTTGTTTGAATAGTAGTTTCTTCCATTGTTGTTATGTACAATTTTAAAACAATCAACTGAGAGAAATTGTGTCTCCTATAGACACTAGAATTCTTATTTTAGAAAGAGGAGATATTGCTTTGGATTTTGTAAATTTTTTGGAGAAAACAGAGTTATTAACCTTAATTGATTATAAGTATTACTGGAATGTAGTAGCTGAGGAAGTTTCAGGGTCAATATCATAATTCAAAAGAATTCCCACCTCCAGGAACAGAAAAAGAAGAGAGAAGAACAATTACATTTTGAGATTTGGTTCAATCAGCATCCACATTTTTCTTCTCTTCCCCTTCAGTAATTGGGATCTTGAGTACACGAGTAAGGAAATCATAGTTGAGGGATATCTTGGCCTTTTGGGTCAGTACTTCTTTGTTTTCAGGGAAAATGGCATTTATAACAGGGTCAGTTATGACCCTCATATCTGCTTTGTTATTGGTAGGCTCCTTAGGGATAGCCTTTGGAGTAATTGTTTCTATCTGTGACTGAGGAATACCAGCCTAAAGTACGTATTTACTTCAACTTCCTTGTTAGCTTATTGTACAAAATAATTTTTTTAATTAATTAATTTATTTTGTTACAGATGTTTCTCCTTTTTTTCTCCCCCCCCCCCACTGATTCCCCCCTCCCCATCCCTCCCCACTCTGTCCCCAGCTTTGTTGTCCATGTCCATTGTTCATGCATACGTGCATATAAGTTCTGTGGTTTATCTCTCCCTCCCACCCCCTCTTCTGGGGATTGTCAGTCTGTACCCAACTTCTGTGTCTCTGGGACTACCCATTCCTCAGACTGTTATGTTCATTATATTCCACAAATAAGTGAGATCATGTGGTATTTGTCTTTTTGTGCTTGGATTGTTTCGCTTAGAATAATACTTTCCAGGTCCCTCCATGTCATCTCAAAGGATAAGAGGTCTTTCTTTCTTACAGCTGCATAGTACTCCATTATGTATATGTACCACTGCTTTTTTATCCATTTGTCTACTGATGGACACTTGGGCTATTTCCAGATCTTAGCTATTGTAAATAGTGCTGCTATGAACATGGGGGTACATATGTTCTTTCTGCTTGGGGTTTCAAGTTTCTTAGGGTATATTCCTAGACGTGGAATCACTGGGTCAAATGGAAGTTCAATATTTAATTTCTTGAGGGAACACTATATTGTTTTCCATAGTGGCTGCACCAGTCTGCATTCCCACCAGCAGTGTACTAGAGTCCCCTTTTCTCCACACCCTCGCCAATGCTTGTGTGATAATATGTTGATGGCAGCCTTTCTGACAGGTAGGTGTGAGGTGATAACTCATTGCTGTTTTAATTTGTATCTCTGATGATTAGTGACGTTGAACATTTTTTTATATGTCTCTTTGCCATTTGTATGTCCTGTTTGGAGAGGTGTCTGCTTAGTTCCTCTGCCCATTTTTTAATTGGGTTCTTTGTCTTCCTTTTGTTGAGTTGTATGAGCACTCTCTATATATTGGAAATTAACCCCTTGTCTGATGTATCTTTGGCAATTATGCTCTCCCATAGAGTGGGTGGTCTTTCTAGTTTGGTGGTTGTTACTTTTGCTGTGCAGAAGCTTTTGAGTTTGATGTAGTCCCATGTGTTCTTTTTCTCCTTTGTTTCTGATGCCTTAGGTGATGTATCAGTAAAAGTTCTGCTGCGTATGATGTCAGAAATTTTGTTGCCTACAGTTTCTTCTAGGATTTTTATGGATTTATAAGTCACATTTAAGTCTTTTATACATTTTGAGTTTATTCTTGTGTATGGTGTAAGTTGATGGTCTAGTTTCATTTTTTTGCATGTAGCTGCCTAATTTTTCCAACACCATTTATTAAAGAGGCTGTCCTTACTCCACTGTATGCTCTTGCCACCTTTGTCAAATATTAATTGAGCATATTGTCTTGGGCCCATTTCTGGGTTCTCTGTTCTGTTCCATTGATCCATCTGCCTGTTCTTGCGCCAATACCAGGCTGTTTTGATTACAATGGCTTTGTAGTATAACCTGAAATCTGGTAATGTGATCCCAACTTTGTTCTTCTTTTTCAAGATTGCTGTGGCTATTTAGGGTCATTTTTGGTTGCTTCCTGGTCCAGTTTTGGGGGAGTATGTGTTTTGAAGTATTTGTTCTAGTTCTGTAAAGTATGTCACTGATATTTTGATGGGGATTGCATTGAATCTATAGATTGCTTTGGGTAATATGGGCATTTTAATGATGTTAATTCTTTCAATCCATGAACAAGGTAAGTGCTTCCACTTTTTTATATCTTCCTCTATTTCTTTTTCAATGACCTGTAGTTTTCTGCAAATAGGTCCTTTATTTTTTTGGTTAAGTTTATTCCTAGATATCTTAATTTTTTTGCCATGATGGTAAATGGGATTTTTTAGTTTCTCTTTCTGTGAGTTCATCAGTGGTGTATAAGAATGCCATCAATTTCTTGACATTAATTTTATATCTTGCTACTTTACCAAACTCATTTATTAAGTCTAGTAAATTTTTGATGGAGTCTTTGGGGCTTTCCACGTATAGTAGTATGTCATCTGCAAATAATGACAGTTTCACTTCCTTCTTTCCAAT